AATAAAACCCTATGCCAATTTGTAGGTTACGTACTCATGATGGTGGCATCGCTCTTCAAACTTAAAAACAAATTATACACTTGATACCAACTTGACTTTTGATTTAGTTTGTTCGGTTAGGTCGTTCCATATGGCGATTTTATTGTTCAGCTTGAGTAGTTACGCTTGATTGTAACATGTCGTATACGAAACTATTGATTGTTAGCTTGGATGAATTTCTAGTGAACTTCAAAAACGTCGACGGAAGTTTCTATATCTTCCATGCATGTATTGTCAATTTTAGCGATTGTTATTATTATAACGTACATTGTGTGTGTACTTCATGTGGTAACCTTGTTAGATGCAGCTGTTGGTATTAGAGTTAATCAATTTTAGATCACCGTGTCTGCTACATTACATAAACTTTAGTATTTCCTATCTTATTGGTGCTATTGCTAAAACTCTGTTGTATGACTGAATCGAAGAATGCACGCTTTCCAAATCATATTAATACAATCATATTGGGGAATAAGTTCGAAGCTTTTGGAAGATGGTGCCATTGGGATAAGAGTGATAGTGTCAAAAACTTTGAAAGTTTTGCAGAAGGAGGAAGGAATAATTAAAACTGTCAAGAATCTATAGGTCAATATTTTGGACATATGTTGAAATAAATACAGAATGCATGCAAAGTAAAGTTAAAGCTGAAAGAAGTTAGGTTTGAAGCAGAACTTTCTAGTCATGCGGTTAAGCTGTATGGTGTGTTTCAAATGATGGTTAATGTTTGAATCCAGGCGAGAAAGAATTAATATCTCTGCGTTTAATAATGCAACATATTTGTTATTATATTTATTTAATCATCCGCGTTAGAGATCAATATAAAAACAATAAAAGGACAATTAATTTGCAAAAGTAAGTAAAAGTAAACACGGCTTCTTTTTGCGTTTCGGTTATAGATATAGTTTGTCTCAAAGTATATTTTTTTGGTTTTTGTCTGCGATTATCCAAATACCCTGCTGACAGTAATAAAACACCTGATCAGTCAGACGGTAGTGTAAAATCCCGGCCCTTAACAGGTGTGTTATTAATTACATTATTAATTAAATTTATTATACTCAGATTTAAAATAGGAGTAACATTTTATGCTCTTACATTTGATCCCATTTAGTGCCACAAATGTTCTGTGGGCTGAATATACATTAACGTAGATGAAAACGTAAAGCAGCATGCCCCCTCTTTTCATCTAAACTATCACATGTACGTTAACTGTTGATATCATATGAATTTAAGACTTTCAAAAGTTGCCCTTTCTTGTAACTCGATTAAAACTAAATGTAATTTTGTAAGAAATATTCTTAAATTTCAGTGTTTGTACTTGATGAATTTGGTGCAGGCGGCTGTCTTAACTTGCGCTGATCATTATGAGACTGTTGTCCTGACTATTGTTTAAAAGATAATTTCGAAACCAGTTTTCAAAATATTCTGCCCATGTATGTAAATACCATTTTGCAAATAATTCTATAGAAAATGGCACGGCTAATAAATTATATTGTTCTAGCTTCATTTTTAGTTTATCAAAAGTATGCTTTGAAATATATCATATATTTTCCTTGTTTTCATGTATTGTTCACTGTTTTAGGTTTTTTCTTTCAATCGTTGTTAACTCTATCTTTATCGAGAGTAATGGCGTTTTTGTAAATAACCAGGATTCTTTTAGAGCTTCTTTTTTGTGCACTTTTGTCACAATGTTTTTCATCTAATGATTTCGACGCTAAATAACGGGAAAATCAGCAAATAAGTTATGGGTTGTTGGATGTGTCTAGTAACAAGTATGAAGGTCGTAATCACTTTTTGAGGGTGGGTCTGTCAAAAGACAAGACGCAACCAATATTTTAATCCAGTACCATCACAATTGATATAAATGTTATCGTTAGAATTATTCCCAGGCAAAAAGTTCGTACGAAATTGCCGCCATTGCGAATATCAATGGAACGGATTTTACATCGGTGTGAAATTTCAATTTACTGTTAAAATCATTTAACCGTAAACGGAATACAGACGGTCTCAGGTAGACAACGCAAAAATGCTCCGTCGTAACGGAATACAGTTCCATAGTTAAGGTTATATAAAATAAGAGCAAAATTCACTTTCATCGCTAGACCGACCATTACACTGTAACAGAACTAATCAATTTTGCCTTTTGAATAAACAATTTGAGACACAGGAGACGAATTTCCAGATCTGGTTTTGAAAAGGGGGTTAGTAAGTTACACAACGCAGCCGGGTCATTAATCTGATATGGCGTTGTTGCAATCGTACGGAGGTAATAAATTGTAATTGCGGGAAAAGGATTAAACGGAAATGATGATAGTGCGCTTTTGTGCAACTGAACGTTTCCCCTCTGGATGCGCGTTTTCCAACAAATAGGCAAAATGACGCTGAACTGTAAGGAGAAACAAATAAACAATGATTTTTGATCTAAATAGAGTTGATCGTTACCGGCTAGAACCCTTGGTTCATAACTTACGCCTACATTGTTGTGGATTGTGGCTGCACTGCCATTAACATGAAATGACTACTTTTTATCAACAAAGCAACATTAGCAACTACTAACTGTGTCACGATAAGAGGCCGAAACTTATAACTGCTGTCCCAGCCCTTAAATATTAAAGGTAATATTTAAAAAAACAGAAAACTGCATAAACAACTAGCAAACATACTTTTAAAGCGATAAATTGAAGCAAATTTACTGTCTTTCGTTTTTTAAATACATATTTCGAACTTTTGCATCATTGTTACTAAAACAATGATTCGAAAGGTACTAATAGTAGGAACTAATTAGTTAGCAATTATTATTATGTTGTAGTGATTATCAACCCATTTTGCAAACAGTAACATTATGAATGTAGGTGCAGTTTGTTTTTAATTTACTCTGTTTTCCTCCTGTTTTTGATCATCTTTCGGAATGTAATTTTTAATTTTCCTATTATATCTTCGCGTTGCTAAACTACTGAACATTAATATGGTTCTCATTATTCCCGGTTTTAATAACCATTTGGAAGTTATTATATTATACAAGGATTTTCTTTGCTTAAATTTCAATGTTGTATCGCGGGAGGTAGTGATGTAGGAAAAGAGGAGGCTCCCGCCTTGAATCCAGAGCAAACAGGCTCGGAGATGTTATTAAATATATCATCGTTTTACTCTAGATGGAATAATGGAACGCAAAATATGAAAAAATATATAATATTGGAATATAATATGGCCTTCATCTATCAGAAAAGTAGGCGTTAAAAATACGTTTATTATTATACTAAAGGCTCCATAAGGGAATATCCGGGATTGTCAGCTTTGTTGTCTTTAAACGTTTCCTTCTAGACCTTGCATTCAAGTCACCAACAATTTTCATTTCAATTACTGTTAATAATTAAAAAGTTGTGGTATGTAGTAGTTATATTTTCGACACATTGGTTGTTAATCTTGACTGCTCAGTATTGCAGACAACATTGTACCTAGTTCTTATAACAGTTTATCTATCGAGTAAACATACTTTGTTTTTTGTTTCTACTTCTTTTTGCAGAATAAATAACAATTGATGGATCACATGTCACGCCTAATTGCAAGTTAAAAAAAAACATGTTGTTTAAACCCCGTCGGACGGCAATACCAAATTATAACGATCTGAATTGCAGTAACGTTATCACTACCTAATAGAAGTTTCCATTTAGCATAATGAAAAGGTATCATTAAAATTATCAAAGAATTGCTCGTTTCTTTTGTCTTTTTTCATCGTAAAAAGCCAGGCATGAAAAAATAAACTTCCAGAACAATTCGTTCCCTAATGGCGTTTATTTTAATTTAAGTGAGAGCAAGTTCAAGAATGACATTGATCGAGACGAGATGAATTTTGATCGCACGGATTTCAAACCAGTTTTGCGATATGGATCCATTAGCGAAATTTTTCTGTTATGGTCCGTTATTTTCTATAATACTGAAACAATTAGAATAAATTTTCATAACGATTCTTTTCTTAATGTGAGCGCAAGTTCAAGAATGACATTGATCGAGGCGAGATGAATTTTGATCGATTTCAAACCAGTTTCACGATGTGGATCCGTTAGCAGAATTTTTCTGTTATGATCCGTTATTTTCTAAAACATTAAATTAAAATTTTGGGTTTCAAGAATTAACCTATTTTCCGATGTTTGCGGTCAATCTTTGGCACATAAATTACGTGTTTTTGGATTTTGGAAATATGTCGTTTGAGGGTGTTTTAAAAACATTTTTTATCGGTCGATGTTGACTTAGATTTGATTTAGATGTATTAAAAAGCATAATAAAGCTTTTCGGCCAGGTTTCAACATAAAATGAATTAATGAATTGAAAATGTAGTGAAACTTGATGAATATTAGGTTTTTGGTAGCATTTTCATTTTATTTAAAAAATTATATTTCTTGCAATGAATAAAGATCTTGTAGAGTGTTTATTTAACCCATTTGAAGCAGTTAAACATAAAATTTATTTAAATATAAGAACAACTATAACGTGTCAACTGCGAAAGGTGGATAATTTAATATTTGCCCTTGTAAGGGACAAAATAGGTGGTATTTATTTTGTGTGTCCAGAATTAAAATTCTTCTATAGTTTAAATTCTTATTTTGCTTGTTACTTCTTGCTTATCCAAGCGAGCTATCATTTTGTGCTATTTTTAAAATCCGGATTTAAGACTCACTTGCAAATTAAAATGAAAATTAATGTATTTCATCATTAAAATTACAAAAAACAAATAAATAATGCCCTAGTTAAATTCATATATTAATTGTACATTTTTTTCGCAATTAATCCGATTTGCATAAAAAAAAAACAAGTGAATGTAGCAATATAAATGAAGACCTCCGCATTTAAAAAATCCGTTTTATCCGTTGAGTTCCTCTACCGAAGCACTGCTTGGTTCACAAAAGTCACAAACAATCCTCGTAGGGTGGCGGTTAAAATCCTTTAAACTCTCGTGTCACGAAACTCACCTTTTCTGCTACCGCCGATTTTGATAGATCCAACGGGCACTAAACATACCACTATACAGGCAAAGGTCGCCGCCATAGGGCACCGGAACGACCACATCCTCACGGACTTCCTTCAGAGTACGAACGCGTAATTTTTGCAATTTCAAGGAAAGAGCGGACTGTCTCCTATAGCGCAGCTGGCCCTATTTTTACGCCGCGTTCTACTACCGCGACCGGAGAATGTTCTTCGGACTTATAAAACCTTGCTTTGCCACCACCAGCAGATTCGCTCGAAAGCACGCCACGCCATCTAGCGACACGGGTGGGTTCGCGCCCGGAGTCCGGATTCTGACTGCGCTTCAAGGTCAGACGGCGGCTTATGAATTGGGGGTGTTCCGGACTAATGATGCTACGACCTAAGGTTCCGTTTCCGGTTTTGCAAATAAATACAAATTGTCTATGTGTTTAGGTACTATTAGATCTATTTGGTGCAGGAAAGGAAAATTAAAATATTCCAACTACTGATACGAATAGCAAACAAGATTCCTTTGATTTTTCTAAGAAACTTCCACAGGCAACTGTAATACTTTTCTTGTCTGAAACTGTCAAGCTCTGAAGAAGCCAACATGATGATTGGCGAAACGGCAGTAAGTTCGACTCAGCAAAAACCGACACAGAAGGAATCGAGAAGTATTGTAAAAAGATTACTTTGCTGCAGAAAATAACATGTTGAAGCATAATTGAAAAACTTTTGTTACAAAATTATGTAATATTTTTTTAATTGGTAATATTTCAAAATCATTTGAAATTATCGCTGTAAACTTGTATGTGGTGATAGTAAGCTGATTATTCATTTGTTTTGAAATGTTTTGACTTTTGACAAGGGTGCAAGAGCAACTACTCATCTCAAATATGACTTACTGAACATGAGTTCAGTTCAAAAATAGCCGGAGGAAGATTGAGAGAAGCAGGCCTTCAAGATCACACACACGCAATTACAAAGTTCGTCGATTACAATTTGCCAAATCCTTATTTTGTGGAATGTGGGAATTTAAAAAATATTCTAGTCATTTTTGAGACTAGAATGATAGAAGCACGGTGCAAAAAGCAACGTCTACATACCGTTAGTTTTGGAGTTGGCGGTACAATACTTTAGGTATCAACAATTTTGGATACGAAATATTCGAATTAATGATTGAAAGATTTGTTGACCACCATATAGCCGAGGCTTAAATCTCATCACGTTCCAAGTACAATAGGACTGCTTCGGTTTTGAGGCACAAGATGATGAGGAACAATTCCTCAAGAATATATCCAAGCTCTACTTAGTAACATATCATATGCGGCAAAGAATACATTGGAGAAACCGGACGAAAAATATCAACTAGGCTCACAGAACACGAAAGAGTCTTACGACTAAGACAACACAATCACGAAACCGGACATAAAATTTTATTCGATAAACCTAAAGTTCTTGCATGTAATCAGCTTTTCTACCAACGAAAAATTCGAGAGTCTATAGAAATCTATAAGCAACCTAACAATCTTAACCGCGACTCAGGTCTCTACCTGTCACCAATAAGGGAATCAGTCATCTGAGACGGTGTTTATGCCCCTCATTTAGCTTCGCCCTCCTCAAATAAGCAGGTACAGAGTAAAATGCGAGCCAGTTTCAGTTAGGCTCTGATGAAGCCAACAGGATGATTGGCGAAACGTCAGCAAGTTCGACTCAGCAAAAACCGACTCAGGATGAATCAGAAGTTATGTAAAAAGTATTAAAGTAGCCTGTGGAAGTTTCTTTAAAAAAAAAGGAAATAATTAATTTAAGTTACCTTTTTTTTCATCATTTCCTTGTAATAAAAACTTACAGTTGTCCATTTACATCTGTTATAATAAACTGTTTTTCATTGTAAGTGGTGTTTAAACGACAAGATTAAATTACGAAAATGAAATATCCGATAATTTTGCCCATGAGTGCATATCCCTGCAAGTGTTTTAAAATGGACTTTCAAAATGTACTTGTCTAAAATATTTTAGAGTAACGTAAAGCACATGCTTGGTTAAAATGATATGCCTTGGAAGATTGGAACTGGTTGTGGTAACGCGATAAAGTATATTCTGTGAAATGCGTTAATCAATCCGACTGCTACCGTAGATTCTGCTTGGATGATATTAATGAAGTTAAACACAAATACCTAATATGTAGTACATTATTATTTTACAATTGAATAAAGTAACGGTATTTTTGCAGTAGAAAGTCTATAAAGGCAATTTTTTTCGGAATAGTTCAGAATTCGTGACGTACATATTTCAGAATTTCTGACATAGGTAAAAATTTTTGAAAAATAATTTAGAATTTCTGGAAAACCTTTCAGAATTTGTGACATAAATCTCTCGTAAGGGACAGTGCGAATTGAATTAGTAGAGGGTGATTAAGAATGGTTAATCTTTAAATTGCAGCTACTAGACAGTAAAATTTTAAGTCCAACATTGGATTGCAAGTTTTTTTATTACTATTGCCAAAATTGTTATTGATCAATATTATTTTTTTATTGATCTCCGTACCTCAAGTTCAGACAAAAATTTGCGTACTCAATCTATCGTATTGATCGAATAAGAATAAGGCCCATATAAAATGGTTTGCTTAGTCTATGACACAGAGAACCGGTCTTCAAACAACAGTTTTGTGTCGACAAGAATTCCCTGATTTAAGATTTGGAAGTATCCTAGATGCAATTTTAAGCCTTAAATTTTTCACGATAGTTGGACCAAATTTAAGATCACATTACTCCTCGAGACACTTCATTAATACGTTTTATATTGCAAGGTCGTTTTTATTGGGAATTTTATATTTAAAAGTTTTGTAATATATAATTTTATACTGTACAAGACTTGAAATATAAAAAAGGAAGAAGTTGAGTATAAGAGCTTCATATTATTTGACGGAGAATGGTTTTGATATTGATTTTTTTGGCCAGTTTCCAATTTCCAAGATTCAAAATTTACACATTGTTTAAAACAGTTTTTTCTGCAGTGATTGGGGATTACTTAATCACTGGGGTTACTTCGAAAACATAATAAAAATTTTAAGTTCTAGATACTTTCTCTATTGCTTTATGTTTAATACTCCGTATTTTGCAAGCAAAATTTTGTATGAAAAGCAAAAATAAGCCGAATTCTTCCTGGGGACTAAAAAATTTATGAGAAAATAAATAAAGAAAAATAATAAATAAATAAAATGAATATTTTAATATTTCGCAATATATTTATCGATTGCGGTTATTCCAAAAAAATGAGAAAAATGGAAAACCAATCGCAAACTGTGATAAAATTTGAAACGCGACCGAGAACAGAACTTATATTGTATCATTGTTAGAACCGAAAAGTGAAATCTAGACTTATATTATCAAGGGTGCGTAGCTAATTTCAAATACGTCTGTCACTCCGTCCTTGCCGACGAAGCCAACAAACAAAATTCAGTGTTAACGACATGGGCTAAACCAATTTGTCTTACCGGAACAAAAATTCCAATAGTAACGACCTTGCTGTAAAATACAATTACTTACATTTTTTTTGCCTTTAATTTTTGGTAATACACGAAGCTTTGAGAATTGTCAGCCGCTTTGTTGTGTACACTTGCGACTCGGGAAGCGAATAGTCAAGGTAACTTCAAGCACAAAAAGCTGCCAACGCTATCGCTATAATCGCTTTCAAAAAATTAAAAAAAATTTCTGGATGTCTTTTTAATTGCTTGAAAAAGAAAAATATTTACAATATAGTTTATTGCTTTCTTTTATTGTCGTGATTTTGATTAATTCTAAGAGATTTTTTATTAGGAGATAGCAGGTATGGTTTGTCCCAAAGTATATCCTGTTGTCTTTTGCCTGAATTTATAGAATAAAACGCCGGATATCTACCTTAGAAAAAGCTCTCAAATACATAACTAAAGAATCGGAAACACCCGAAGTAACTCACGACATTTATGAGGGTGTGGCGTTATTTTGAGATTTATCATCCGACAACACTAAATAAATACATGCCTACCCCTGCCTTGCCAATGAAGAATCAGTATGGAGGTAGGTTGAGTCAATGCTGCACGATATACGAAATAATCTTCGTCTAGTTTCGAATGCTGCAGGCAACATAATTTATCTATCACACATTTAAAAATAATATTTTATGCATCTTATTCATTCATTCACTCCTTCATCATTATTCCCAAAGATGATTTTTGATATTTCCCTTTTTTTTAATAAAGAATAAATCTTGTATATTTTAATAAATTTTCTAGCTTCAACAAATGATAGAAATTTTTGCAGAGAATTTTTGTTTAGTTCGTTGGAACAAACAACAATGGATTTGTTTTCTGTTATGATTTTGGATTTTTTCTCTTTATTTTGATTTTTTTGTTAAAAATTTCAGCAAAATAGGAGGCTACCGTCGGTAGTGTGGTTTAACTCTACAATAAATTCTGCATAAAAAACCTTTTAAAACTTTTCTATGATTGTCTGCATGCTAAGGAAAAATATGTGATTCGATAATTTTTAAAATTGAGTGCTTTCATATCGCTGTCCATTTTCACTGCCTTCGATATCGAAATTGACATTTTGTGTTTGGTAAATTGGTTATTTTGTACGTCACGTTGCGGTTTTTATTTTTTAAATATGAGGCGGGCGTGATTGACAAAATAAAAGGTTTCTTTATTCATAGCCTAATACTATATAATAACGTAATCTTTGAAAAACGTCCACAATATTTATACCTTCGTTCCCAAAGAATTTGGGAACTTTAATTTAAATTTCATTTTTTACAAACTATGTAGTAAAGAGCCAAGGCAACATCATAAGCTTGTTTTACGGTGCATTCGAGAATTCTAATCCCTCATGTTTTTCTTAAGTTTAAAAATTAAATTGGTATACATTTCTATAAATAAATTTCATTAATTGATTTAAACACATAACTTTCTTTAATTTTACCTTGTACTTACAGTCAATTAAAATTATTTGTGAACTGTTCGTAATTAACTTTAAATAGGTATTCACCAACTGGAAAATTTTAATCTTGGAGAGTTATTATCAATTACATCTTTTGCGTAGCAGTTTCCCTTGTATTATTGTGTGAAAGTGTTAATTTTTTAAATTTTATTATATCGGATTTGAATTACAAATGTTGAAATCTTAACCATAACCATTAAGAGGTGCGTATGCTATTCACTTTGAATTACTATAAAAAACTGTAAAAACAATCCAGATA